GTAATATAGATACTTACTAATTTACTAGTTTTAATATTCGAACATCATGATATTTGCAAAATTATTAATCTGTATACTTACTTCAAATTTGATTAACGAATTTCCTGGTCCGTGATGGAATAAAACACAGACGAGATATAAGAATAGACCTAACATGCAATGTCATTTTCTCTCCCATACTTCGGGGGCGTCAAAAGCCCCCGTACCATTTCAGTATTCCATTCCTTGCTAGCGAAACCGGGGCAATAATGTATGTATGTATCGCTATATACAATCACAGGTGTGTATGTGCTGTGCGTCATCACGTGTCGAACGTCGTTCCTCAAGTCGGAAACTTTTATGTTGAGTATGCTCGAAACAGCGTGATTTTCGTGGGATATCAAATCCCATAAGATGTTAGGTCTATTCTTATATCTTGTCTGTGATTAAAGCACATATTCTAGTTTACAAATATTTACAATTAATTGCTATATTTTTTATTGTTTTTTACATAATAAATCATAAACGAAATTAGACCCAATATATATATGTATATATATTGATGGTATTGAATCTCTGGTATTGAAACTGCAACTTGATATTACGCACAGACCATTTCCAAGAAACACAGTGAAATTATTCGTTAATTGTTAGGTTTACAGTTAATAAAGGTCTGGGTTGGGTTAGAAATTCTCAAGCCAATAATATTTATTTCAGCCTGATATGGCCATTAGTTTATGAAATATTTAATGTTCAGTCCCGTGGAACCTTCGAACACTCATCGAGGATTTACTGTACTGTACCATTATAGTCAGCTTCCTGCATTGCGAAATGTATCTACGTGTACATTCTTTCTAGTCTCCTAAAACACTTCTGTAGTTAAATTAAGAATACTCAATCCTGGATTAATCTTTATTTTTCGGAAAATTTTACTTTTATCACGATTATTAAGAACGCGTGGGCATCCTTTTTGAAGAATCGATTCAATACGATATATTGGGTGCTCGAATATTTTCTCGACATCAGTATTGGAACTAATTTCCTGTATAATATATTATCTAGAAAACAATAAAAAATAAAATAATTAATTTTATATATTTGTAAACTAGAATATGTGCTTCAACCTATCACGGACCAGGAAATTCGACAACCATATTCCATGTATATAAGTGTATAAAGCAATAATTACGCAAGTGCCATGATGCGCGAATATTATAAACGAGTAACTATAAGTAATTAAATTTTTTCCTCATGTTTCCCTCATTCACGAAAAGGATGACCAACTCTTCTCTGAAACTTTGGGAAACTTTAAAGACGCTGAAGCTCCCCAGAACTTTACGTTTCTCCTTTATAGCCTCCCTTTCTCATACTCTTCGGCTGCATATCTGTTCGATCTCACCCTCAGGCACAGGAGCCCTCTTGCCACGTTCTGAAGGAGGGCCGAACGAAGAGGAGAGGACGTCGTGTCGAGGAATCGAAGGGTTTTGTAGAACTTTCACGAAAAACGTGGAACCAGACAGACATAAGTACGTGAATCATTTTGAAGGACGGGAGTGGCCATTCTTACGGAAAATTTCTTCGAACCAAAATTAGGATAGTCAGAAAATATAATGTAGAATATGTATACCTTCTGTATTATATTAATACCTGAAACTTTGTGTATCGCATTGTGTAGAGAAAATGGACAATTTTAATCGTACTTGAAATACTTCCATTAGCTTGTGTTGTAGGAAGGGTGAATATCGTGTTTTATTTTTAGTTATTGTGGTCCTCAATAATGTTTCCGTTTAAACTACAATTTCCGAATAAATATTGTTTCACTTTTGTATTAATACTTTAGGAATACGGTCTCATTGCTTTTTGAAAATTCTGTTCTCGTCAAGAAATATTATAACTGTAAATTTCAACGCATTTATACACATATTATTTAATAAAATATACAAAAAAAAATGCCATTAATGGAGAATGTAGGAGAAAAGATAGATAATATGTCACTATATCCAGTTCACTACTATGAAGACGTATATCTACCAGATATTAACTTAAAGTAACCGTGATGCAATTAAAACGCGAATTTGAATGTTGAGAAAATTTAATTCTCCTTTTAAAATTAAAGTTACATTTCTTTTGTATCTAAACAAACATTGATGCTTGAAAAAAATTGACTAAAATGCAGGAAATTACCGTAGCTAATAAACTATAAAGAAATAAATAATGTGGCAAAGAAACCTATCTACAGTACAAAATTGAATTTTCTTTACCTTCGTACCAATGAAAGCTGATAAGTAAATAATCGCGGTAACACTCGTATTACAGCGAAATAATGAAAAGCACTGTTAAAAGCTTTCCTCGCGTAGATAGAACAAAGATTGGAATATGGGAGGCTAAACAAGATAAAAGAACTAAAAACTTGACGACACACAGGGTATATCAACCAGCCAGATTCACTTAGGAATTTACCAAGCATGAAATACAAAGACAGTTAGAAATTCGACCGAGAACGTACATCTTTTTTGTTAGAAGCTCGCGTGAAATTGCGAGTCGAGGATAAACGACGCGCGGCCTGGTCACAGGGGTAGCTCGCTTACAGAAGTAGTTGGATCGGGCGTGTGCGAACGTTAGAATCAAATATCGAAAATACGGGGGAAAAGAATTAAAAAAGCTATCTACCGTGGGATAATAAAAGGAAGAAAGTCGCACGAAAAAAAAGAAAAAATTGGAGTCCGAGGGTAATGTTAAGGGTTGGTAAGAGTCTGACGAGAGAAGATGACGAAGATGAGGTCGAAACGGAGGGAAAGGATGAGAAACATGAACGCAAGGACCGGTAGAAGGGACGTTCTTGCCGGGGTGATAGTGGTGACGCGTATACAGAGTGTTCGTTGGTGTTGGTTGGTGGAAAAGCTAGATAGCAGGGTAGAAAGAAAATCGCTCGCAGGTTATTTTCCAGAAGAATTTTTATTGGTAAGTCCGCCATCTTGGTGTCGAGGTGGGGGTGCAGCAAGTGGCAGCAAACGGGCTGGGATTGGCGGTCGTCCGGGCAACGCATACCTCGCGCGTCCAATAGGGCGAAGCAACGAGTGCCTCGTGCTTTCGTTGTCCGGGCGGATACGGGGGCGGACGGGAGTACGTGTTACAGGCAACGAACCCCCCTACCATGGTAGCAACCCCTCTAAGCGTTCTCTGTCCCCCCGCGGAGTCACTGGGATAACTGCATTTCGTGGACAGAATCCCACAAGAACTCACGGTGAGCGGTCGCCCCTCTAACACGGCCGATTCCCGTATCGTTTCGGCTTTTTCCTCCACGTACCGTGTTACCCTACGGCACGAAGGAAGGGCGCAAGTCGCTGTGGACGCCTCCACTATTCGCGCTTGTTGCCTTCGCGACGCGTATATACTCGTTCGTACAGTTTCCACCGGGCACGCGCCATCTCTCAACAATTATTTCGATATTTGAATTTTCAACACCGTACTGTCCTCGTGCTACTTATCCCTCCCCCCCTCCACCCCCCTCCTACCCTCACTCTCCAGTTCCGACCCGTGTAATTGCATCGACGAGATAATAAGATTTAAATTTCGAATCGAGGCCACGGTAGCGATAACGTCCGCCTGTGATTAACCAGCCGCGTTTTCAGCCCTTCCTAGTCTCGTCCCCGTTCTTTCCCCTTTACACCGCCATTCTCAGTTCATTCAACATTCAACCGCATTTCTTCGAGCATTTACATAAAAAAAAAAAAAAAGAAAAGAACGGAATATCTCTTTTACCTTACTTGGAAAATGCTGTTGGGATTCGACATCGTTGGATTTATTTCATGAAATCCCATACCACTCTCTCCGTCAACACACACTGATTGGATTATTGGGTACCGCCTTTAAGAAACAACAGCGACAAGAGTGTGCTACTGTTAATAACTTTGCTGCTGCTGCTGCTGCTGGAGAACCAATAATCGGAACAGAACGGAAGAAAACTGTGGTTTAATACCTACGAGAAGAGCTTGGAATTTTCCGAGAAGAAATTGGATATTTGTGGACGATTGTGTGGAACAAGAAGACTACGATTATTCCTACAGATTAAAACGATCCAATGTTTTAATACGCGAAGACTGACCCTGAAGAGATTTTTAAACTAATAAGTATACTAACGTAAAGGAAAGCTTGTTTAAACCAGCAAGATTCCGATCTAAACAGTGCCATATTAATATTGTGTCGGAGAAATGAATTGTACGAGTACGTGTATACCGAAAGTATTATTTCCAAACTTTTAAATTACGTTTCACGTCTGGAATCTTAACTCGGAACAACATAGTTTCAATCGACAACAAGATACATGGTTAAATTCATGGGATCCACTTCCGAAATAGCCGTAGTAATGTTCCGTGACAAACACCGTGAAGTTTAACAGTACCGAGAATAGATACGTAATCTTATCGGTTACACTAAACGAATAACCAATGCTATACAACTGTAAAGACTGTGGTTATACAAAACTAATGTTACAATCCAGAAATTAAATATCACAGTGAGAAGTCATTCTACAAGACTATACCTCATAATCGAATACCATCAATATACAATTCGTTTCGTCGCCAATCGAATATACCAAGAGGGAAGAGCCATTGATATCTATGTGTATAAGAAATTAACGTAACGATAGCAAAAGATCAGGTAATCCGTTTGAATCGGTTCCCACTTCGGTCCGATTCCTCCAGAAGAGGACTGACAAAGGATGTCCTGGTAGGTTGTGGAAGAACAACAGGAGCATTTCGAACGAGAGACCTCGGCAAGGTCACCCCGGCATCATCCTGGCTAACGACCTGTCTGGAGGTACCGGCGGGGGTCCCGGTGCTGGCGGCGTCGGTTCCGTCGGTGGCACCTCCGTCGGCGGCGCCGGTGGCGGTGGCTCATCGTTGCCGACAACCGCCCTCAGCCTCGATCATCAGCAGTTCAACATATTCCCTGCGATTTTTAGCAGACAGTTAAACTTCTCCGCGGCAGCGGCTGCGAATTGTGGTCAGAGCAAACTGATGGACGAACTAAGGCCAAATCTCGGCTTGCTCGGCGTCGGTCTCGTTGAGAACGAGAGCTTTCACTTGAATCACAATCAGGAGAAACGAAAGTGCAGCAGTACCAGTTCGAACGAGCAAGATTTTGGTCTTTATGGCGTTCACCAAGGCTTGGAGGCCAGCCCGCCGACACCCGCCGCGACGCCTGGGAGAAGCAGCGTCGGAGCAACTTCTGCCGTTGGTAAGTGAGATCAATTTCTCTATTTCTAGTGACGTCTCGATTTCTGCTCAGTACGAGTACTCTTTATTTAATGGAGGAAGTTAAATGACACATTAACCAGATAGCACATGACGCCTCGAAGACACCCATTTTATGACTATTTTAGGTCTAAGGCGTCTTTAAACCGTGTTCGAGGCGTTATTGGGCGTCATGTGCTATCTGGGTAGTTATAGAAAAAATTATTTAAATTAGTTCGGTGTTCAATAGATGGCAGCATTTTAATAGAAATAAATTTAATAAGTGTGTCCGTCGTAAAAAAAAGGTGATTTGAGCGGTGCCGTCGCGATTGTGAATTACACATGGACATTGCGTTTTTACTAAAAAAATTACGGAGTCTTTAATATTGTTCGTCGGAGTTTGGTTTTGGCATTTTCAATTTTCGTTGAGCAGAAATAGGGACATTTTATGCTTCATATTAAATTCACTATTATTAAGTTACAAACCAGATAGCACATGACGCCTTAAAGACGCCTATTTTACGGCTATTTTAGGTTTAAGGCGCCTTTCAGCCATCTTCAAGCTGTCATGTGCTATCTGGTAATGTTTTTAAAAATACTTTTATTTAAATGTAATTATAAAAGGGGGGTTAACTATTATACCTAACAATTTTTTTTGTTGATTGTTGCATCGATAAATAATAAAAATCAATTTCTGCGATAGCAAAACTCTTACACGACTATAAATAGGGACATTGACCTTATTTCAGTTATTAATGTAGTTGCAGTTTCTAAGTGCGTCGGTACTTTCATGATCTTCGATTGATAGTTTATAATTTTTGCAGAATTGAATTTGAACCTTATAAAATTAACATTCCCCGTACAAATGATTCTAGATATATTGGATATTTAGAGTCGCTTATTACATTCATTCTTTCCGTTTTCCAGAATATTGTACTAAGTGTCACATTGATTATTTTATTAAATCGACGACGTGTCGCAATAGAAGAAATTTAGAAAATTGTAATTTTTCAAAATTCCAAGGACATTTGTTTATACATACAATTGTTTAAACAGCAGGTATAACATACAAATTAAAAGGAATAATTCTGTCAGATATGTTTCAAGTAAAATATTATGTTATAAACACACGACATTCCCAATAACATTTGTTTACATTCGAGAAATTCGAAACAGAGTGGTGTGTCTCGAATTCTTAATGAGAGGGATAAAACGGGATTTATGCATTTTGAATGACTTTAAAAGAAAAATGGACAGCGTGTTGTCTCGATATAGGTGAATTTTCCGCTTGTTAATTCTTGAGTGCGTATGTACATTGACAATAGGATCGGCCAAGGTGTTGACAATAGGGTGCGAGGACCAGACCATATGGCGATACCTGTTCTATGGGCTATTATTATGTGTTCATGGGGATTAAGAGAGCCTAACGCCAAGGGTTTGCTAATGGGGCTTTGCTCTGATGGTCGGACGTAGGCGTACATCAAATACTGTCAGCAAAATATGTTGCACCGGACCGAAAGTATGCACAGTACTACATACTTAGACACATTCATTTCCTATTTTCATCTTCCACATCCTGCTATAGGCAGCAATCGAAGTTCATATTAAAATATCTATCTTCGTATCAATTCCATTTACACTAAAATCGTATTACATTCTTTTTATTTTGTATCGTCAGAGATTTATAGTTTATTTTAAAATGTAAATTTATCGACGGGCAGTTTACTTTAATTTTTAGACAACTTATGTATTTAGTTACTGCTACTCTTATAGTAGACGAAATTAAGCGAAACATTGTCAACAAATGCTTTATGTAAGTTTGCTCATACTTTCAATTATTTTGCTAAAAGAATGTGTGAAATGTTTCAGAAAAAGTAGTATGCGTCGCGGTAAGGGCACGAGGCAAACCAAATTCATGAATATTTATTGAAAATTACCAACTGCAGTGTAGAATAACAAACAGCAAACATTTCTCTGATAGAAGGGCAAATATGTACTCAGATCTGTAAATCTTTACAAAAAAGTTTCTGTCGTTCTATATTCTTAAAAGAAGATATATCGAAATATGCAATGAAAGTTAATGTTAAGACAATCTGATGTTCAACAGGTGACTCAAAACAAATGCCGTTAAATTTTTATGGCCTTTATTATTGAATAATTACTATCATAGGGCAGGCTGAATTTCTTCAAGGTCAGACTATCCGGAAACAAAATGAGACTACCGCAGTACTTATGCAAATGAAATAAGAATGAAAGAAGACAGGTGGGAAGAACGAGCGAGACGAGAAGGGAAAAATTAATTCCGTTAACCCTCCTGCGTTCTCCGCGGCATTAAAAGTACTCAAGCGATGGTCTTCCGCGCGATTCCTCTACCCCTTTTAAATCGTGAACCCGCGAAATCTCTCTGCTACGAATGACGGCTTCCCTCTCCGTTTCAGAAAAGAAGATCTAACACTACCACTTGTGCAAACTTAAGGCCACTACACACGTTCTGTCCGTTCAAAGTCGTAATCAATATTTTCGCATGTTTTTTGTACATATTGCTACATTTACATACAGTGGGTCTAAAAAGTATTCGTACACTCTTTAAAACAGAACAACTCTTTCAAAATTGGACCAAGTGACTTGAGTTTCTTTGTAAAGTTAGAAGGATTAGTGTACTAAGTGATGTGTTAACAGAATGTTGAAAAAGTTAGAATTGGTCGAAAGTCGTGAAGAAAATAGTAAAGGTCGCTTTTTGCAACTGTTTTATCTGAGATTATAATGAAAATTTAACGAATACTTGAACTGAAAATGTTGAAAATGCGTTAATAAAAGTAACATATAATTACTTACACTATCTGAGACTGTTACTTACCATTGTTTCAAAGTATTTGCATATTACCACTTGATAAGGAGCTTGAGCTATATGTGTAATAATTTTTTATCTTTTTATACAGTGGAATGTCAGTTATCAGAACACAGGACGGGTAACGAGTTACGCCACACTTTAATTGACAGAACATTATACTAGATTCGAAATACATAAAGATAAATCAGGATATATTGTAAAATTGAGGGCGAATGTGATATTGTTTCATCTATTTTCGTTAAAGAAAATGACATAGCTGAAAAAATGGCGGTTAGGTGCCGTTCCAACATTTCTTTATGTTATTATTAGACTTCAGATGTTTATGCAAATGCATATTTTTATAGAAAAAGGATGAAGCAATAGGATCTGAACAGAAATATGTTTTATGATTAGAGAATTCTGAAAATATATTTTTTATTTTGCACTTTTTGCATAATGCATATGTTTTATATTTAAAAACATATGCAATAACTTATTGAAAAATTAGTTTTCTATTTTTTTTCAACGACTTTTCTATTTTATTCTTAACTCAATAACATACTTAAGCGAAGATAGAAATTACTACTTTTATTCTTGTCTTCAAGAATTACTTTATAAAATTTTATTTTGAATAAAAATCTGCAGTCTAATCATAACTCTCTGAATTTTAAGGCCCTAGATTTCTTTATATGATGTTTGATTAATCTGTTAACTCGGGAGGATGAGTTCATTCGTCATCTCTGCTTGATTATACTTACCTTCCAACGAATTTGAACTTGTTTTCCTTTTTCGTATAGAATTTCTATTACGTTGAAATACTTGTGTTGGTACAAGTTACACCTCATTCGTATTTGTTGAATATGCATCAGTTTACATTTATTCGTCTTTATCTGTGGTTATGTCAGTACTGACGATCAAAAAATTATCCACGCAGCAGGTTAAAAACAACACATGGTTATACTATCAACAACAAAAAATAACGTGAAACAAAGGATTCGTTAACCGGTGAAACAAAAGATGAAAGAATATTTAAGTTTTTTTACCTAGAAAATATTGCGTGTTTTGTGTTCGAACATGTTCAAAGTAAATCTTATTTAAAAATGCAAGAATTAGTGGATGATTCCATCTTAAAAGAGACTGCAGAACGCCAGGATTGTGACAATTCTGGTGACAGTGTGCTAACTGCCATTTAAAAACGTGTCAGTAAACCATAAAAAGTGCGGAAAAACTTTCGAGAAAACATACTATACATCTTGTGTTGAACAATAAAACTTTCTAGTTTTATTTTCAAATAAACGTTCTAGTTAAAGTTTTCTAGCTATCTGGGATATACAGAGTGAACCACAAATCGTGATCAGTAGAGATTTACTCTGTCATTAGCAGTCCGATCGAAAATGTTTTTATCATACATGGTTTCAAGAGAGCTTTAACGTAATTATAGCAAAACTTTTTGTCAACTCTATTTTTTCATGTTTTTTTAAGGTCACCTTCAATTTTTTGCAAATACACCTATAATTTTTTTACGCCTATCTGTTAGAGGATTTCAAGACGAATTCCGTAAGTATCATAACATAACATGTGTTAATTTTCTTTTCATCTGGGTCGAGAAAAGATTAAAGAAATATTCGAACTGTAATATTACAAAGAGTATCGTATGCTACGCTATTGTACGCGTTCCGATGTTGAGCTCTTGCCTACTGTTTGTAAACATTTCGTTCTGAACATTGGAACACATCTTAATGATATCTACCGATCACGATTCGTGATTCACCCTGTATGTAAACAAGCCTGGATAAGCAAAAAATAAAAACCATTAAATCATTTACATTCTGCCCTACATATTGTTTTGTACTTCCACCCTGTTTGATTTTCAATAAGGAAGGGAAATAAGTGAACAAAATACACGGTGGCGGCAGTGGTACTCAATGACAGCAGTCGCTTTGCCTGCCGCTCACAACATCGTAAAAGCGAGCTATTTTACTGTACACTTGTTTCTGTACTATATTTTGTCATAATTAATTTCTTCTCTTTGCTTCTTATATTATCGTTGGAATATGTTTCAATTAAAATAATTGTATTATGTTTATATCTTAATGATCAATGTATTAATGCACTGCATTGCTTGATATTATGTTATGTTATGTTATGTTTTATTCATAGGTTATGTCGCGATA